GTACATAGTATGTTAAGGATAAACATGGAAAGATTTTCAAATGTAAGAATTCTTTACTCCTGTATTATAAAGCTAGATGCTGAAGACAAATACAAAAAGATGGATGTGTTCACGCACAAAACCATTTTACACCCTGATCTTAAAACAGGGCTTTATTATCAAGGGGTACAAATACCTCATATCGATGTCTATCAATTGCTGTGCTGAAAACAACTGTGTTAGGAAAGGCAAAGCTGTCCAATATTAACTTAGGAGTGAAGAATTCTTACCCCTTTACCAAATTTCTTCAAGTCCCCAAGTCTCTTGCACTGTAGTGAGTGAGACACTGAAAATTATTCACACCTAAAACTGTTGTTGGAAGACTTGATCCCAATTATCAGCAGGGAGTAAATCAACAGAGAAGCCAAGTGTCCAGTCCTGGGCCAAGAGACAAATACCATAGAATCCAGCATCCTGGGATAAATCAAAATCTGATAGCCAAAGTCCAAAGGTAAGTCTAGATATCACAAAATATCAGATATGAAGAGTCCAAGATCTTAGCTTCAAGCACCCTTGTGGCAGCCAGCAACAAGGTGCCACCCTTGAGCTTCTTAAATTTTAAGTTATTGGGTATCACCTATTGCTGGCTCTCTTCTCGACTACTCTCTCTTCGCAGGTCCACAAAAACTGGGATGCTTAACCTTTTCTCTGCCTACTCAGCAGAACTTGATTGCATTTGTTCTGCAGGCTGAGAAGTAGTAGCTACTTCCACGGGTTATACTTCAAAGCTTGGCTGAGGGAGCTGCTGGGTGTTGCTGGACTCCAGCTCTACCGCTGACCCTTCAACCAGCATCTCTTCATCCTCACTTTCCAAGCTATCCATGAAAACTGTTCTTTGTATTGTCGAAGGCTTTCATGGCTGGAATCACTAGGTCACTACCTCTGAGGATGCTTGCCATAGATGCAGGCGAAACGTCAGGAAAAATGCCTCTAGAACATGGCCATATAGCCCGAAAAAACCCACAAGAACCTAAACTGTTCTTTGTCTGCCTCTTCTATTTGGATGCCTAACCTCTTATTTCTAGATGCTCAACTGAATGTTTAAGCTATTGAAATTCTAGAAATTTGGAGAATGAAGGACAATTTCATGGGAGAGATCAGAAGTGTTATGGGGATGTTCACATTTTGCCCCATCCTTCACAGCTACACCCTTGAAGGGAAATTTCACAGGCAGCAGAATTTTCATTTGGAGAGTCAATGCCCTCATCCTCTATCCACAAACTCTAGGCAAAAGTTCTATTGCTTTTGGTCTAGAGGTACGAGCGTTTAATTTTATCAAATGTGTTGTCTTATTTATTGGTTTTTAAAATAATGAAACCGACTGTTGCAAAGCATTTAGTTCTCTCCCACACATCTGGGCAGAACAATTGATGTTTAAAACCAGGCCCATCTTTTCCCTCAGGGAAGGTAATATTTCTTATACAACAAGCCTTGTAGCTTAACATTCAGTTACTGAGTCAAAAGAGAGAAAAACAACTGCGGTTACCCATATTTTGAGAAGAAAAATTGCACTCTAATAATGGCTCTCTGGACATAACTCCAAACCAATTTCCTGTAACAAAAATGTCAGATTTCAACATGAATGCTGATGGAAAGACTTTTTAAAAATCAGAATGAAATACCAAAGCTTCCATGGGACAGTACCATTATATGTCTGACAATAAAATAGAAAAATACACCTAAATCATTTTTGGCTGGCTTTATCACCAGACATCTTTTGGCATCTGCCAAGGGATCAGTACTTGAACGAGTGATCATAGGTTTGCTTTGGTTTGAAGGTATACAATACTATAAATTGTACATGCAAGAGATCAAATAGAGCAGGGGTGTCAACTCATTTTCACTAAGGTCCCCATCAGCCTTATGATTGCCTTCAAAGAGTGGGTTGTAACTGTAAGAATGTATAAATGCAACTATGTTGCCCTGGCATTGAAAGCCTTGCGAGCTACATAAAATGACATAGTGGGTCAGTTTCAGCCTATGAGCCTTGCATTTGACACATGTGACATAGAGACTAATTCTGATGAAACCTCAACTCTTTGGGTGTGGAAATGCAACAAAAGAATGTTGGATTTCCTCTATCATACTCCAATGTATATGCTCTGATCATTTTTTTTACATCAAATGACCATCTTTTAAAAGCCAACGAAAGTCAAGCTGAAAAGTTAATTAGCCATAAATAATCCAAGAGAGAGAGAGAGAGAGAGAGAGAAACACAAGGGGAGGAATTAGTTGTAGATTAGCAAAATATATATGCTTATTCTTCGTTTCCCCCAAATCTTAAGAGGTCAGGGAGGTACCTGCAAGTTCATGACTAGCTGTGCAAGTAGTCACTTGCACAGCTATTGAACTGAGGTGAATAAACATTTCATCAAGGTAAGCAGTCTGTCAAGACCTAAAATTAATTTTAGGTACTTGTCTAAAAGTGCAAGAATAATCACTGATCCAAACAAAATCACTTATCCAAACAATGCAAAATGTCCCAGTATCCCAATGACAGAGAGAATTTGGCACCAGTCACTGTAACCATATACTAATACACAATATATAAATATAGCCTTCCCTAACCATGGATTCTGTATCTAAAGATTCAACTATCCATGGTGTGAAAATACTAAGAAAAAAAATCCAAAAAACAAACCTAGTTTTTGTCATTTTATTTAAGGACACTATTTTAGTACACCACTGTATCTAATGGCATGAACATCCACATATTCTGATACCTACAGAAGGTCTTGGAACCAAACCCCAGAATATACCAAGAGCTTGCTGTAGTATTCTTCTATATATGAAAAGCCCACAAACATTTCCTAGAACTTTTCAATGCTGTGTTTTTAAGACACTCAAAGAATAATTTAAGACCTTGTATCACATGTATGACTTATGCCCAATATATCAGATTAAAGTTTTTGTTAAATGTTTGTAGATTACTTTGAAGATTTTGTTGGATTTTACAAAGTCCTTTTCTCAGGAAGGAAAACTGCCAAATTGAAAAAAGAGCCACGTTATTTGAAGAAGTTAAAATAAAATTAGTCTTCTCATTGGTTCTTGGGCAGGACGCAATTTTTCAACAGAATGATGCAAGGTAAATTCAAGATGTAGAGATCAATAAATTATTAATAAATAATAATATTTTCATTCAAAAGTTCTCTGTTGGGTACATTCTACTCTCTAAAATATGTTTTAAACAGACACAATGAGATAAATGATAAACAAGTGGGGAAAAAATCTCCAATTTTTTCCATGCCTGTACATACTTTGCCCACAAGATCTTGTGAAAGAATGAGAATTACTAATAAAAAGATTATTAAAACAGCACAAGCCGCTCTGATGCCATAAAGATGCATCATTACCAGTCCACAAAATATTTAAGGAGAAATTAACTCTTCCTACCTACTATACACTGAGTAAGGAAAAGGGAGAACATGGGATGGTGGGGAACAAGAAAAACTTCAAACATCAATACACTACATGCATGAGTTATATGTTCATATACATTACTAGATACATAACCTTTGAGGGGGAAAATGCAGTATTAAAGTATGGATATGGAAACTATTGATGTGTTAATCTGTATGATGGTCCTAAAGTACAAAACTGAGATAATCTGCATCAACTGAGATAGAGAGTTATCAAAATCTTGTCAACTGTTCAAAGGTAATGTAAAATATTAATCTAAATTGTCAATTGGAAAGAAAGGGGGAAAGCTTCCCAAAACACACATGGAGTAACTTGCACTTTAATTTGAGAAATACAGGACCCTTAGATCTTCTGGAGAGTCCCTGCTCTCTATCCCACCGGCTTCCCAAGTGCAGCTGGTGGGAACGAGAGACAGGGCCTTTTCTGTGGTGGCCCCTCGGCTTTGGAACACCCTCCCTATAGAGATACGATCAGCCTCTTCGCTGATGGTGTTTCGGAAGAGATTAAAAACATGGTTGTGTAAACAAGCATTCGGTTAGTTTGTTATCACCGAATTTTATGGACTAAGGACTGGTTAATTATGGATGACGAATTCTGGACTGTGATTTTAGTGACGAGATACATGGTATTATTATTGGTGGCCCAATAATTTGTATTGTCTATGTGTTGTTGTTTTAAATTGTATATTGTTTTTAATTGTTGTAAACCGCAATGAGTCGCCGACTTAGGCTGAGATATTAGCGGTATACAAGTGTATTAAATAAATAAATAAATAAATAAATACAGCAGTCATGCTTAAACATTGTGTAGCAATTACAATGTAAGGTAGTTGCCCATAATATTAAAAGCAAAAGGGAAATCATTAGCAAACTGATGGTTCTTGGACACACAGCTTGGCTTGCCATTTCATTTCAGAAACAACAGTATGAAACAGTATGGGTAGACCTGTATGAGTGCACACAAGCATGTATTTTGTTTTAAACAGTTTGACATATTGACCCATATGCTCATGTATAAGTCTAGAAATTTTAGACAAAAAAAATCAACCTCCCAAAACAGGGCCAATTTATCCACAGGTCAATGGGAGGACTCTTATCTAAACTCTTAAAGGAACCATCCCCTTCTCTGATTCGATTAGTCAATTTTCGAAGACACAAAAACAGGCACAATCCCTTCCACTCTAGTCACCATGGTGCTGCTTCTGGCTTTTTTGAATGCCTGGGAGAGGAAACAGCAGCAGCAAACAGGGGCATCGTTGGTTTCTGTGGAATGATACTTGACTTATCCATGGGTCATATGAAAATCTGTAATTTTGGCTCCCAAACTTGCCCCTTGAAACACAAGGTTAATTTATACAGAAATATCTACAGTAAGCAAGAATGGTCACAAATTATTGAACTATTTTTCATTTGGGTACACTTTATTTAAGAGATGAGTTAGTATTTGTCATTACAATAAGTGATTCCTATGTTAATGAAACTGAATGACGATATAAATATCTTCAACTTGATCTGTTTGTATTCATCCTTTGAAACACCTACCTCAGCAGCTTGGGTCTCCTGGTGCAACAGAGTCAGACCAGTGAGATCTTCCAAGAAGGAATGGGAGGAATTAAAAACCTTTGCTAGGAAGTTGAAGCCTTCCCTTTCATATTGCTCAAGGAC